CGGGTAAATAAAATACCGATGTACATATGAACACATGGTATATGTTACATACTTGAACAATGGAATTCTAGAAATCCTTGTTTAATTTTTGCAGAGATGCTTGCCTTTGTTGAACGAAGTCTCTTCCCTAATTGCATACCTCTTGAATCAACAATGTCTTTAGCCAATAAGGATTTCAAATTGGCTGGGGAGATAATGGCAATGTCTGTGCTTCAAGGAGGCCAAGGTCTAAATTTATTTTCAAGTGAAATTTATAACTATTTGAGTGGAAATCTGCAAGTAGAAGACATGAATTCTATTAACAATAAAGAAATCTGCGAGAAGGTACAAACCTTAACGGATAAAATTACTTTAAAAAACTTGTATATTTAGTAATAATATATTGTTTGTAGCTCATGAATGCTGAAGACTCAGAGCTGCAAGACATTCTTCAGGATGATGTTTATCCAATACTTGAAGAAATTGGTTATTAAGGAGTACCTTCCCGTAAAAACAAGTCATCTATTAGAGGACTGATTCAGTGTGAACATTGTTTATATTTTGTTAGTCCTTATTTCTTATGTATAGTTTTCTAATATATAAATTTATAGGTCAATTTGTTTGAGAGACCAGGTTGGCAACAGGCTGCCACAACTTATGCAATTGGAAGAAGGTCTGCAAACATATTGTTTGCACAAAAATATACATCAGCATGCTCAAATTTGGGAAAATGTATTTGTTATTGGAAAGGGTTTGCCTGTCACAGCAAACTTGCTAATTGAGTCATTTGACGTTGTGTACAGCATAAGTCAGGTGGAAAGAGAACTGGAAGCAGATACATACACATATTTCTATGACTTTAATCATAATGTGGATATGAAAGGTGTGTATTTTTGTGGGTGTGTTAGCATGTGATGTCTGTTTGTGTCACATGACATCATTTTGTTTATTACAAAGTCATATATTTATTCATACATATGTTATACAAAAAATTTATACAATTGTTTTTTTGTGTTTAAAATGCAGAGGTTCTCAATATTTGTGTTTGTAATATCCTTCAATGGATGACTGGATCAAGGAACATGCCACCTCTTGGATCTGGCAAGAAGATCAAGTGTCAGTTTTTACATGGTTGTCAGATTAACTGTAGGTGTAGACCAACCACATCCACTTGTGACCTCGTGATCACCTTGCCTGTACATCTCAAGAGTGAAGACAGCATGAATGAAATCATGATATCTGCATTAATTGATGGTGGAGATTTTGGGATGCTTTAAAATCTTTCTTTGTTAAACATGTGCATTTGGCACATCAAACCTTTTGTTGATCGCCATGATGTACTTTGTATTATTACATTTAACAAAAGATTAGTTGGAATATTTGTTTTGTTAGAACTTTGAAAGCATTACTTCTTAAAATACACAGAACTTTTAATTTTTTTGAACGAATTTGTAAACTTGGAATAACAATAGTTAAAGCATTGTTTGATTATTTAATTATGCTCATGGAATATGAGGAATAGTTGTCTGTACAAATTGAGAGCCTCAATCCAAATTGTAGGTTGGTTAACAATTCTGTTAGTAAAAAGATAGTAAATTCATAAATATCATTTCAAAAAGAACTTAACGATAGAATGGATGACTTGCTTGTCTTACGCGACTGTTTGTTTGAGGCAACTGAGTTCTTTTTGATACCAGTTCACCTCTTCATCAAATTGCAGCAAATTTTCGGCAACAAACTCCACTTCCTGCAAAGAAACTGTATGCAACTTGTCTTTACCTCCATTGCTCTCTGGAAGAAGAAACAATTCATCAGGTCGTCCAGCAATTGTATGATAGTTTGAGGCTCTAATTTTGTAAGGATTCCAGTGTTCTTTGACAAAATCTAAGTCTTTTTGGATTATCTCAGCAAAACAGTACCACAGACATTCCATTTGTAATTCGTTAGTCACAGACAAATCGTCAGTCTCAATAAGGTCTTGGAAAAAGTTAATCCACCATGTAGATCGATTTCGCCGAAAGTGAGACCACTATCCTTCTATTCGCTGATTGGAAGTTGATTTTCCATAAGAATAGGCTTGAACATTGTCCATAAAATAGCATTGCATAATTGTCATTATTCCATTTTCTGTCCCATTATCAGTTCACAATTTCTGGGGGCAGCCTTGTTGCTCTCTCACACTTTCCAAATAAAAGCTTGCTGGAATTTCAGGAAAGTTGTTTTATCTGAAAACTTTAAGCCACATTATCTTTCTACTCCAGCCATCAACTGCCTCATGGATAGGAAAGCCATATGGTTTGAGCTGCCATATTGAGATGTCATATCCATCAGCATGCCAGGAATAGTTTGGGCCTGGAGAAACGAATTGTCTTCTTTTTAATCGTTTTGATTTACGTTCAGCACAACCTACAGGATCAAGCTCACTTACTATCCGCTCAACAAAATCCCAAGGAACTTGAGTTCCTTCGAGTTTAAGTGTGTGCCAAATCGAGCGGTACCCACCAACACAATCTGGACCGTCCAATAGATCACTGACACGTTGCCTTACCAATGTTTTATCATATATGATATTGCGGCTTTTCAATCCGTAACTGTTTAGTCGATTTTTTAAAGTTCAAATCGACATAACGACGCCATGTTCTCTTTCAAGCAATAGCACTATTGTTGAGCTTTGCGATTTGCGTGTCGCATTTTGCGTGTGTGTGTCAGGTATGTCTATGACGTCAGTGTTGAGCTTAATACATTTGTGTTGAGTTTATTAAATTTGTGTTAAGCTTAATAATTCGTTGCCCTTGTCGGCCACCGTACAATAGCCTGCAGCAACTTATTTTTTAATTTGCAGCAACTTTTTTTATTTGCAGCAATCTTTATAATTGCAGCATGTCCCTTATGGGCCACCGTAGATTTGAATCTTTTGGCTGTCGTTTTTCTAGTTCGCAAATAAATATGCACATTTTTTTTTATAAAATGAAAAGAATATAGTAAGAAAAACTATTGCTAAAATAAGGCATCCAATCAATTGTCACATTAACACGATAACTCAGTGTCTGAACCCGTTTCCTTAAGTCGAGCAAAAATCAATTAGCTATGTCGTAGTGTAGAGAGATTTTATGAATTTGTGTGCTATTACGAACCACTCGCTGTAGATGGTAAAGCTGTACAACATGTAAAACATAAGACCCACAATGTCACGCTCTAAAGGCTTATTATACTTCGTGCGACAAGTGTTGCGCGCCATGTCGCGGGAGGAATATGACGTCATATCACCAAAACGGAAGTAACAATTGACGTAATTTCACCGTATTATCGCACACGTGCGCCTTGCAAAAAGTTGTTATGTCGCAGACATTTTGTCGAATTGTCGCACAAGATAATTGGCTATCTAATCAGACGTGGTTAGTCATTTGTTTTTGTCCCAGCATATGTTTATCACAAATATGGAAAAATATTAAATCACGGATGGATTCGAAAAAAGATTAGCGGAAGAAGTTAGGAAATACCCTCATATATATGACTTGTCTAGAAGGGATTATAAAGACCTACAAAAAACTACGAATTCATGGAAGGAAATCGCCGAAAAGCTTGAAACAAATGATGCTGTTTGCGGACAAAAATGGAAGATAATACAGGACCGATTTACGAAAGCCAAAAAGCGTTTGAAATCGAAGAGTGGTGATCCTGGTGGAAAAATTTTACCTGCTATTGTCATTAGCCTGTCGTAGTTGTCATTAGCTAGACAGCTTTATCAAACATCGTGCGACTGACTTGAATTTTTCATTATCAGAGGTAACTCAGGTAAGCATTAGAGGGGATTAGTTGTTCATGTCCATTATGTAGTTTTGTGAACACTGCCACATTTATATATAGAATCTAACTGAGAATGGCCGTACAGAAGATTATTCAATCGAGGCTCAACTTTCGGGTGCTAAAGAGGATCCTACCAGTTTAATAACTATATCTCTACAAGACTTGCAATCTATCTCTCCAGAAGCCAGCACCTCTAATTCAAGGCCCAGTACCCCTCTTTCCAGGGCCAGTACCCCTCATTCCAGGACCTCTCTCTGTGATGGCACTGCTCCTCCTTCACAAGCAATTGTCCTGGCTATCCGAGAGACCTAAGTTCAGACAGATGTGAGATGCCACCATCCTCATCTAAAAGGTCCAAAAAGAGAGCTGCCTCACCGACAACATCAGCACTCTTAGAGAGACTGGACTCTATAAAATCATTAAGAGAAGAAAGAAAAGCTCATAGCTCAAATGAGGAAATGAGATACAATGAAGAAGCTTCCACCACAACTGAAATCAGAAGCAAAATTTGCCATTAATAAAATTTTATTTGAAATAGAACAGAAACTTTACAGTAGTGACTTTAATTAATAAAACTTTGTATTTATGCAGTGAATGTGTCGTGGAGATAAATTAAGACATATTCAACTTAGTTTTGTTGTAAAGAGAAATAGCTTTTTTTATTGTGAAGGTTTTTGGCTGAAAAAGCTAAGGGCAAAATAATATGGATGGTAAAAAACTATATTTCAATGTAGTAATCATCAAGTTTTGTATTTTATAACAATGCTGGAGGGCATTCATATTAATGCTGCATGCAATGTTACAAATGTAGCCAGCCTACATATTTTATGCTAAGTAAATATTTTTGTCTTTGCTCACAATAAAATTAATAGATTTCTAAAAAATATTTTTTAGTAGCAGAATTCATTTATCTGGCAGGCTATACCATTGCAATGTTATGAATTCATATTCATGTACCTATAATTTACAAAAAATATAAACACAATTTTTAACATTTATATTTGTTAGGGTTATTTAAATAATTTAGTAAAAGTGTAATGAAAATATGCTCAGGGTCTTGACCTCAAACATCCTCTATTTACAACATTTGCTTGCCATGTCAGCATCCCATGAACTGACATAAAATAACTCTTTAAGTCATTTCAAACAGCTATTGCAGCACGTGATGACCTTGCATTGGACAGCCGCCTCATATCTAGTAGGTTAGTATCATGTGCAACAATTTTCCTCCATTCTCCTTCTACTTGTCAAGCGAAGCAGTGGTTGTATCAGTGAAGTTTGATGGAATATATCGAGAAGTGGAAGCATTTGAGGCATCTGTTTTGTAGAGGAAGTTGTGAAGAGCAACACATGCTTTCACAATATCAACTACCTTTTGTGGATGAAATTCCATAGGTCGTCCAAGAATCCTCCATCTAGCACACAAGATTCCCAATGAGTTCTCTATAACTCTTCTTGCTCTGGAGTGCCTGTAGTTGTAAACTCTTTCTGATTCAGTGAGGTTAGAGCCTAACAAGAAAAATCATAAATGCTAGGTGGAAGCATTTGCAGTATCTGTGGCATCCTTTTTTCATACAATAAAGAAATGGTAGACTAAGTAATTAAATGTGATTGATGTATCTGTTGTGCATGCCTACTTGGGTATGGTCGCATCATGTTAACATGCAGCAGAAAAGCAGCATCTGCAACAAAGACATTGGGAACAGGTATATTGGTGTTTGGTAACACTTGGGGCGATGGCAATTGTAATCTCCCATGTAGTAGGTTGTCCCCAAATCGACTTTCTTTAAACACACCTCCATCACTCTCTCGCCCATATGCTCCAATATCAACCATTAAAAAGTTGTACAGTGCATCACAAACAGCCATCAAATCAACTGAATGGGTTGACTTGTAATTAAAATAATCACTACCAGAAGATTGGGGGTGCTCTGATAATGACATGTTTTCCGTCAATGCTACCTAAGCAGTTAGGAAAGTTCCATAACCTCCAGAAATCATGGGCAATCTCATTCCAAGAGGTCCCAGAAGGGCAACCTACAAACTCTCTATTCAATGCATTCCAAATTGCTTTGCATACTTCGGAAACAATGCATGAAACAGTCGTTGATCAAAGGTGGTAGCTGGCTGCAATACTTTGCTGTGATCCACCACATGCCAAAATTCTGAGAGTCACTGCAAGTCTCTCCTTCAGTTCAACAGGACTAGAGTGAGTTCTGGCATAGTTAGTAAAAGGTCTGATTTTGTGAGCAAGCTCATCAAAGCGGTTGGCTGACATGCGAAAATACTTGAAGTGCATTTCTTCATCAATAGCACGCATTTGTTGAACCAGCACCAACTCTCCCTCAGTTTTTCTTGACTGATGAAGTAGACGGACACACCATCGTCTTTTACGATGTTGCTTCCTTTTTCGTTGCAACAACAGCAATATTATTTCTTCCTCGAGTTCGAGCTCTTCCTCGCCTGACATTTTAGCAGAAATGAATTCATTTGATTCACAAAGAATTTTAACAATGCTGCCAATGCACTACTTGATGTAAATGTCAACATAATTTTAAATTTGTATGCAGATTTCGCGCGGTTGTTGCATGGGCTATTTTGTTTACTATAAATGCTTTATTTGATTGTCGGATGGCGCGTGCCCATAGATTGCACAAGCCAGAGTGTCGTGCGACACATGTCGTAAGAAGCATAAACTGGCCTTTATAGTGCACACTGTATAGCGATAACGGTCTTAAGGCGGATCTCCACTAGACGATTTTATGCACGAACGTCAAAAAATTTCGCGACGATTCTTTTAGCAATGGAAATGCATGAATAGGAATAGACGGTTTTCTTTAAAAACATGGCGGCCATACATAATCACTACCTATTATATTTAATCTTGAGAAGAAGATCTTTGCTGCTGCACTCATATCGTAGAAAACAAAAAGTGAAGAGAAAGCGTGCTAGGTTTAGGGTTCATAAACTTTACGAGGAAAGGCAACAGAAGGGCGAATACGAATTACTCGTACGAGATTTACAACTCTATGACCATCAAATGTTCTTTAGCTACTTCAGAATGCTTCCAAGCACTTTTGAAGTGCTGCCTAAACTCATTGGTTCTGATATAAAGAATAATATCACCAAAATGAGGGAACCTATTGGCCCATCTGAGAGGCTGTGTGTTACACTTCGATATTTGGTTACCGGGTAGGTTTTTATTATCCAACTGTGGGTAGGATAATAAAAGAAACCTCTCATGCAATTTGGAACAATTTGGTGAGGTTAGGTTATCTAAAAGTCCCATCTAACAAAACTGCTTTGGAAAAAGTTGCTTGTGAGTTTGAAAATCATTGGAATTTCCCAAATGCAATTGGAGCAATAGATGGAAAGCATGTTCAAATGTTTGCTCCTGCTGGAGCTGGATCTTCTTTCTTTAATTATAAGAAGACGCACAGCATTGTATTACTAGGAGTTTGTGATGCTAATTATAAATATATTTTAGTTGACATTGGAGATAGTGGCGGACAAAGTGATGGTAGTGTCTATGCAAACAGTAATTTTGGACATGTCAGAGAGAATAAACTCCTTACTATACCACGAGATAGGAGAATAACAAACTCTTCGAAAGTGTTGCCATTTGTCTTTATTGGAGATGATGCATTTGGTTTGAAGCGGCATATGATGAAGCCATATCCTTTTTCCGACTTATGTAAGCGGAAGCTTGTTTTTAACTATAGATTGAGTCAAGCTAGAAGAGTAATAGAAAATACTTTTGGTATTACGATTTATATAAAATACGATTTAGAGTATTTTACAAACCCATTGTTGCAAAAGTGCAAAATGTTATTGCCATTACAAAAGCTGTAGTTGCATTGCACAATTTTTTGATGAAAATAAATGATGATGATGATTCAAAGCACTATTGTCCTCCAACATTTCCTGATCAAGATGGTCCAAGTGGAGTAAAACCTGGTGATTGGAGACATCATGAAAATGATATAAATGGGTTGAAAGAAATCAGATGTATGGGTGACTCTAATAATTATGGAGGAGAGGCCAAGTGTGTTCGAGAACAATTTGCTGAATACTTCAGTAATGAAGGTGCAGTTGACTGGCAATGGGGTGTTAGAAGAAGGTCAAAGTAAACATTGTTTGGTATGTTTGGAAAAATAAAAAAAATTGTGGGCAACCTGGTCAGTGAAATTCATTAGAATCAAAATGTAAATATGTTGCAAAAGAGTATCATTATTAATGAACTAGTTATCAAGAAAATTGATGTTTTAAGCAGGCTTGCTATTTTATGTTTTTCAATAATATTCTATAAATTACTGAACAGGTTTTCTTAGATTGACGTTATGTGGAAAAAAATAGTATCATTCAAATTCTAATTCATATAACAATTGCTGAATTTTTAATTTGGCCAATCGTAATTTTTTCTTGTCCATATCTCTAAGGACAGGCTCTAGACTGTCACAAAACAAGGCTGCTTCTATGGGGTGCCATTTGTAAAAAAATTTATGTTTCTAATGCAATTTAATTTGTATTTTGACTTGCAGGCATCAAAATTGTTGCAATTTATTAAATGACAAGTGCAATTGCATTGTCATTTATTACATCACAAGTGCATTGTTTTTGCGATTTATTAAATCGCAAGTCCAATGTCATTGCCATTTAATATATCGCAAGTGCAATTTATTTGTGATTTATTATATCGCAAGTGCTATGTCATTGCGATTTATTAAATCGCAAGTGCTATGCCATTGCGATTTATTAAATAGCAAGCGCAATGTCATTGTTATTTAATAAATCGCAAGTGCTATGTCATTGCGATTTATTAAAGCCTAGTTCTCATCGCAAAACGTCGCAAGTATCGCCGATGGTCGGTGTCGATGGCCTTGTGTTCTCATTAATCGCAAAGCATCGCTCACCATCGGCGATGGTCGGTGATTGCTTTGAGAAAAAAAAATGGCTCCTTTTAATCTGAAATTGAATATTGTAATTTCTGTGCAGCTTCAATTGTATTTATTGGTTTTGTTAATAAGGAAAAAGCAAATTTTACTCAGATTAAACAAACCACGAAAGAAGGTTTTGGATAAGAGAAATGTTGAAGAAACGCCAGCAGGAAAGTCAATGTCATATTTTGGTTGAAGAGTTAAAATTGCACGATCGAGAGTATTTTTTCAAGTTTTTAAGAATGAGTCCAGAGAGGCTAGAGCATCTATTAAATCTTGTTGCCCCCTACATTACAAAACAGAAATGCAACAGCAGAATACCAGTTTCTGCAGGAGAAAGACTTGTCGTTACTTTGCGATATTTAGCTACGGGGGATTCCCAACAATCCCAAGCCTTTAATTTCAGATTTGGAAAAAGCACAGTTTGTAATATCATAAAAGAAACATGTAGTGGAATATGGAATTCTTTATGTACCACATACCTGAAGGCTCCAAAGTCTGAGCATGAATGGAAAGGGATCGCAAATGAAATGTTTACTCAGTGGAATTTTCCAAACTGCATAGGTGCATTGGATGGAAAACAAATTGCAATTGAATGCCCTGCTAATAGTGGATCTAATTTTTTTAATTACAAAAAGTTTTATAGTATCGTATTGATGGCCATGTGTGATGCTAGGTACTGTTTTACATTGGTGGATATTGGAAATAATGGAAGAGACAATGATGCACAAATTTTCAATAATTCAGCAATGGGCAAAGCTTTGTCAAATAATGAATTAAATGTTCCATCCTGCAGTTCCATTGTTGGCCATACACTGCCTTATGTTGTTGTAGCCGATGAAATCTTTGCACTCAAACCATGGTTAATGAAGCCATATGGTGGTAAAGGATTACCACAAGATAAAGAAATATTTAATTACAGACTTAGTCGTTGCAGACGAACAATAGAAAACAGTTTTGGCATCCTTTCAGCAAGGTGGAGGATTTTTCGCCGCCCAATGAAAGCCAAGCCTGAAACAGTTGACTTGATTATAAAAGCATGCTTATGCCTGCATAATTATTTACAGCTAACATACAATGCCCATTACATCCCAGCTGGTTTTGTAGATGCTGAAGATACTACAGGTAATATCGTACCTGGTAACTGGAGAAGCATTACATCAGGTGATAATGGTGCAATGGAAGCATTCTCAGTTGGAAGGGCAAATAATAGATCTTCCTTTGAAGCTATTGAAGTTAGAGAAAAATTCAAGAAATATTTTACAAGCAAAGACGGATCCTTATCTTGGCAAGTCACTTATGTTAATAGTTTTTAAAGTTAACTGACATATTGTCTGGAGTATAGTCTAACCATAATCTGCACCACTAATTTCAGGTTTCATATAAATAAAATTATTAAGTTGTTAATAGCCTTGTTATTACAATAGTTGACCACATGGTTTTTATTCACAGATCAGTGATAGTTATTTGTAAAAAGCCAACCTCATTGCAGCATAATTTAGCATAGTTGTGTGTATGCAAATAAGCATTTGAGTTAAAATTTATCCTATCAACATCTTTTTATGCTTGATGGCAAATGAAATTATTTGCTCCAGGACTATTGACTCCGATGTTATCTACAACATTTACACTGCATTGCAAGATTTTAGACATTGTAAAATATATATTTGAAACTAACATGTATTATGAACATTAATTTTAAACTATGTAAACAATAATGAGTTAATGAGTATCTTACTCTACTTGCTAAAAACTGAGTTATCAACAAACTAAACAGTGCAGTAACTTCCTTTGTGTGGAAATGATTATTTTAGAGCAACTAGAAGTGCTTATATTTGATTTAATATCTTTGAAAGTTCTACAGTTGTATTTTTGGGAAAATTAGATAAAGTTAGTGCACTGAGTAGTTTCATGGTAATCACACAAAATAATGAAGTTTTATTACTGTAAGCAACAATTTCTTCTGAAACTAAATAAAGTAAATGTCTTATCCATCAAATAACAAACTAAATGATATAAACCTGTTTTGACAATAGCTGATATGAAACTTTTAATTATTCCCATAATTTGCTTGTCTATTTGGCACAGAACCAACAAAAGTTGGAAATGAATTCAAGTAATTTGGATTTGAAAAACCTCCATACTCAACTTCCATGAAAGCCTTCTCAATTAAGTTCCTAATTAAAGCCTTCTTTTTTCCATCAAGCCTTCTCAGTCTGGGGGCTAAACTCAAACAGTAAAAGTAGTCTTCATCATTCTCCACATTAGGTTTATCTTTTTTGGCTGTTTTCCAAACATTTTAAGGACTTGTCCAACTTTGACATGGCTTCTTTAATTTGTTCATCAGTTTTTTCAATTGCATTTTGTTATTGATTTTAGCTCCAACCCAGCTCGTACCACTACCATCTCTTTTTTGCCTTTTTATTGGCTGCTTTTGGTGGGTCCCATTTTCTGTGTCTCTTATTTCCTCTGCAACATCACAAATTTGTTCAGTTGCTTCGTCTTGAAAATTGTCATCTACAGATATATCTAATGTTATATTAGTTTCCTCATATTGATCATTTTCTCTATCTGATAACTCTTCAACCAAGTCGGGATCTTCTGCACCAAGTGTAACTATATTTGAGACACTGTCTTTGGTTATGTTTGGTTGACTAAGTGATACATTCAAGTTACTTGTCCCTTGTCTTGAAGTCATATGGATTGTAAGCCATCCAAGATTCTCGAACCTTTGATCAATATTTGGAATATCGCTTACTCCAGACCCAGACTTTAACTTTTGTTTTGAAAGATAACGAGAAAATGCAGTACGAATAGTCTTGTATCTCCTTTCCACTTCTTCTGTTGTAGTTTCAAGCAATTCAGCTATTCGTTGCCAGCAGTTAGCTTTCTTTCGTTTGTCACGAAAACCGTTTGTTCGCTTGTCGTATATCGTGGGAAATTCACGAATAATTTCCATAAAGCTTCTATCATCGTCCTTTGCTTTAACAGCAAGAACATTTAATGTTTGCACTGAATCGAAGTCTGTTGTGTTCGAGTTACTCGCCATATCTATTTCTTCATATACTCTATACCTTCAGTAACAACCACGAGTGAATTTAATGATCGAACTGATTTTATTGTTTTACAGAGCAGCATTTATAGTCTTTATTACAAACAACAAATATTATTATTGGTCGGAGTAGTTCCTCTGTTTAAGCTATATATGGTACATAAGGAAATTTAACTAACGTCAATAACTGTTCCTTGGCTCTTAGCCGTGTGGGAACGGATACATTGATAAACTAAACTACGCACATACTATTTCCTTAACATGTTTTTGTGGTTTATGAGCATGACTCAACAAAGTCTGATTCTTCGTCTTTTTTCAAGAGCAGCCATGTTGGACTAGATTATGGAAAGTTGTCGGTAATGATCGGCTATGATCGCAAGAAACAAACCGTTTTGTTTCTTGCGATGGCAGCGCCGACGCTCGGCGTTCGTCACAAAAAATCGGCGACATAAATTTTAACGCGTTCTCATTAATAGTAGGGACTTAAGATTTTACGACGCGCTTGTCAACAACGCGAACGGAAGTACAATTAAGACAAATGCGCATGTGCAAGCGTCGTTTATTTTTTTTGCACGCGTACGACGCGGCGTTTTTACTTGTTTTGGAGTCGTAGAGCGGAAGACCATCTTGCGAATTGGAGAAAGTAAAAAAGTTGAAAAGTCCTATTTCTGCTTCTCTGGTAAGTGAAAATGTGCTTTCCTTCTGTCAAACGATAAAATGCCTAACTGCCAAGCCATACACATTTGGTAAAAAAATTTATAATAAAACATAATCTCAAAGACATCTTGTAAACTCAAATTTTATTTGTAATAGGCAATTCTTACTTCAAGTATGACTTCTGAAGCATCACACTCAAGAAGTTCACAGTAAGTTAAACTTTTTTCTTTGGTCAGAAAGGGCATAAAATCCTAGGATATCAGTAGATATTGATAATTTTAATCAAATCAATATCAAAGCATGTATTCTTTGCTGCTATCATGTTGTTTTTTTCAAGTATGGGAAGGAATAAAGCCCTTATAAAGTTTTGGATATTTAATGTGCATTAGTCACTCTGTGAACTTTAACTTTTAAGTCGGCAAAGTAATAAAAGATGTATGAAATATTATACATCCAAATAATTCTAATCTATACTGAATTAGATATGTCAGCATATTATACTAGTACTTTTAACCCTTTTCATTCAGGTTCTACTTAAGAGAACTGACCTTGTATATTGCTCGATTCCTACTCATCATGTCTAAATTCTGTTTAGAATTGGCTTTGTGATGAAATGGACTACAAAACATGACATTGAATTGTGCAAAGAGGTAGTGGTGTCACAAATCTTTGAGACAAGGAAGAAATCTATCGAAAGAGGAAAGTTGTGGGACAGCATTGCCAGAAAGTTGGAATTTCATGACCATCTATGCTTTCGAGTAGATCAGCGATCAGTTAGAGATCGCATGCGAAAATTGATAGCCAACTACCGTAAAAAGGAGAGAGAAGAAAGAGCTGCAAGTGGAATTTCTCCAGAACATGATGAGTTGGATGACTTGCTAGAGGAAATTAATGCTAGAGAGGAGGCAAATGATGTTGTGGCTGCTGAAGCTAATGCTGCTGAAGCTAATGCTGCTGAAAGGAAGAAAACTGCTGCTGATAAAATAGCTGCAGAAGAAATGCGAAAAAGAGCCATGGAGCATCTAGCAGAAACCAAGGAGAGAAAAGAAAATGATGAGGGTCCGGTTAAGAAAAAAGTAAGAAGAGGGGGGGACTCAACCTTAGATTTCCTAAAGGAGAAGGCTGAGAAAGAGAGAAAAATAAAAGAGGACAGTTTGCTTTTGGAAAGAGAAAGACTGGAATTGCAGAGGCAACAAATAGCAGCAGAAAAAGAAAGCAAGGAGCAACTTATGGAAAAGCAAAACAAGCAATTTGAGAGTTTTATGGAAATGCAAAGACAGCAGAACCAACAAATGCAACAAAATCAATTGCTTTTGGTACAACAACAACAACAACAAGGGCAAGCTCTGATTTCCTTTTTGGCTAAATTGGTTGAGAAATGAGATAACAATGTCTCTAACTTGTACACAATATGTTTTCTTTAAACAGTTATTTATTTATTGTTGATAGGCTTTATAATCACATGATGAAGCTTTTGAAATTTATTTTAAATAACAGCTTTTAAAAAATTAGGAAAAGTACATTTGAAGTGAAGGTGGTTCAAGTTGAAAAAATTTACTGGTTGTATTTGAGTGCAAGCAGGTCAGAGCATTTCTAAGCAACGAAGCCACTATATACATTTTTCCAACACAACTAAGGCTGATTTTTAGATCTTTTTTAAAATCAAGAAACTTAAAATAGGTTATTATGTCCCCAAAAATCCACTCAACTGATATCCTTACAGCATTCATTGATTTGTTAAATTCTTGCATGTGGACTGTAAGTTGCCTGTTCCTATATGGTGCCTGTAGGTGAATACGTAATAGGTAGGCTGGATCACCATACAAGCACATGGGTTTATCATTGTAAAAGGCATATATATGTAGATCCTGCAGTAGCCCTGATGAGGCTAACATAGCAGAATCTTGCCTTTTTCCTTCTATAAAACAAAAAAACTAAATGAAATTCAAAGTAAACATAAGGATATTAGTCAAATGATGTGCTTACCAACTGGTCCAAACAAATTGGCTATCATTCCATTAGGAAGAGTGATCGATTGAAACTTTATAGCATGTACCCTCTTATGACCATTGTATAGTAAACTTTGCATTTCATCTGGACGGCAAATTGGCCTCACTGTGCCATCAATAAAACCAAAACAATTGTCTAAAGCTCCTCCTTTCTGGTGAATTGCTTCAGCATAAATTTTCAAGTTATTGGGACTGAGTAGATCGTGATTCCAATTTGTTATTTTTTCCCCATGCCTTTCATAAATAAAATCTATCACAGAATTGGTAATCATGCTAAGTTCAGGCACAGATCTACCAAATTGAGGTACCAAGTCACTGTATCGGCAAGGATAAGCAAAACGACGAAGGGCTATGCAAAGAGCCTCCAATCCAGTGCAAACTGTTCCTTGCTTGCACTTGAATCGGTAAGGCAAACCTAAAGCATCTGCAACAGCGGTATTTCGTGCTTTTTACAACGAAAATCCAAAGAACAGGTAACTTCGTTTATTTCTTCCAGATCAAATGATGGATAATCATTGTGCATTATTTCAGGATTTTTCGAACGGCAAGCATCGTATAGTAAGACAAATTCCTCGTCATTAATTAAAGCTGCATCATAGGCAAAAGCGATAGCAGTTCTTGCATTTCTGAATGACGACATTTTTAAATACTCTAAAATGATGTTGCTGAAGCTACACACGTCGCGCAGTCAAAAACTTAAATCAAAATCTATAATCCACGCCGACGCGTCTCGCCCCAGGACGTGCGCGCACAAGTAGCGTCGTTGAAAAGCGCGTCGTAAAATCTTAAGGTCCCTAGTAAGCGCTCGCCGACGTCGCAAAAGCTCTATCGCCGACGTTTTACGATGAATGAGAACTAGGCTTAAATAGCAAGCGCAATGTCATTGTTATTTAATAAATCGCAAGCAGGGGCGGATCTAGAGTATGTCAAATCCGTCGCGCGACTGATGTTTGAAATTCAAAAATTACCTATTCATATTAATTAAAAATTCATTAATTATTCTTATTTTCTTATCGCATTTACTTCGTGATAAAAATCCCGCATTATTTATTATTGAAAACTAATGACTAATCCAATGAATATCTCGTTGGTAACCAGATCAGTTGAATTTTAATTGACCAGGAATAACCGACTGATAAGCGGGGTGGCTTGACTGGTTCGACGGATAAAGGAGTCTATGAAGGTCAAAAACGCTTATTTTATTGGTCAATAGCCAGATCAGTGGACACTCTGGAATGGTCTCGACTGATAATAAGGGTGGCCGGACGTATAAGGGAGTCCAATTGCTATCTTACAATTGGTTCATTTGAATTTTTGCTTTATTGTGATTGGTTTGACGGATTTCGACTGATAGCCAACTGAACTAACATAGTCAAGCTCACTGTCTGAATTGAAAGTTTGATCGTTTTATAGTAATTTTTATAAGCATGATAGAAACTAAACTACAATCAGATGGAATTTATGGAAATCTTTTACAAATTCATATATTGACATGAATGCTGCTGTCCAAAATGTGAATTTTTTCAAGAGGGTGGAAATTTATGGATAAATTTTAAATGCTTGGCAAAGACGATCTCGCGAGCGACATTTCAGTCATTGATGTTCAAAAGAAAGCCAACATTGTTTTGAGTTTTATCAGCAGAAATTTACATCCAAAATCGTAAGTAAAGGACAAGTGAAGTGTATGCATGAATGTAATATATCAAAGTCAATTATGTGAGTGTGTGATGCAATTTATGTCAATATGGCGTATGGTAAGCAGATTGATGCTTCTAAAATTGTTGTTGCCAAAGGACTTTTAGCTATGATTTCTTTAGTGCTTGGGGAATCGTGGCGTTATCGGCAGCGAAATCCTACATTCCTGCAAATATATTTCAATGGACAAAAATCTGTAGCCATAAGGCCCATACTATTATTTACTTTATCATAAACAAATGTTTGGGGTTTTTCAGTTTATGATCATTGATCATTCAATCATTGGACAGTTATACTACATATTGTTTAAGATTTGAGAAAACTAACATTGATTACATGAGAAGCTGTTTACTATAACCTGTGATTTTGAGTCTTCTGATCCATGAAGCTTTTTATTTTGACAATTTGACTGGAATGGTATTAAACCTGAGTATTTCACATACATGGAATGTTGTCCCATGTCACATATTATCCCCTTTTCTAACTGAACACCTCATGTAGAGATGTAAAGGTCTGTCAATCTACGGCTCATACCAGATTGTTTGCCATAAATTCCAAAGGGCTATTGATGTATGAAAAGCATTTTCTATAAAGTAAAAATGCCTTTCTATGTATGCAGATAAACCTTGAAATTTGGCAAAACAGCAAAGTATTTTTCATGATCACTAGGTAAATTTTCTGATGATCATTATAATTTCTAAACTAAATTATTTCTGATTTACATTTAAACAAGCTTTGATCATATGAAAGGATATTTATCATAACCAGTAAGCATGACACATGAACCAATTTTAACATTCATGTAATTATATAATTAAAGACATGTTGGTTACATTCTGTTTGTATTTGCAAATACAATGCTACTAGTGATTGCTATATAGCACACCTTGCATATACTTACAGGAGATAATAGTCTAGTGAAATGCCTAATAAACATTTATGGCATTAAGCTGTCCTTAACTGCAAATTTTCACTCTGATAATTTTTCCTTAACCTTTGGCAGAAAAAAATTTTGAGTTTTTTCTCAAAAGGTGAATTTGCTGGCACTGATGTGGAGATGGGTAAAGGGTTACAATAAACTTGCATGGTTTGAAGTCTGAGCTTTTCTATATCTATGAACTGTCACTTGTAGTACCAAATTTCTAACTTAACTAAATTCATTACATAGAGGTTTGAATGGGGGTCTCTAGGGGGGTCTATGCCTGACAACTTGGTAGAAATTTTTAAAGACTATATCTGTTTTTAAATGGGATTATTGTAAAATAAATTTTACGTTCCTAGACATGTTAATGAGCCATATATTTGGCGTGATAATGAGCCTAAATATTTGGCAAAACATTCAAGTATTGTTCACTTCATTATTTTTTTTGAAAAAAACGTAAGCAAAATGTTTTGTTTTTACGCAAAAACGATGCCCACAAATACATTTTGTATTGCTCTAAAACGCTGAAAATGGCATTTTCAAGGCTCTGAAATTCAAAATTTCTCAGGGGAGAATGCCTCAGACCCCCCCAGGTGCGTAGCGCCTTCGACGTTTTATGACTGATGTTTGAAAAATCCTAGATCCGCCCCTGATCGCAAGTGCTATGTCATTGCGATTTAAAACAGGCTTAGCCTGTTTTGCCTGAAAATTGGGTCGAGAATTAATTGGCGGGAGAAATTCAACATGGAGGACAACGAACAGTTAACGAGAGTTATTTCGGAGGCAGTTGCTAACGCAATTCGACTAGCGAGCAACGAGTCGTCGGGAAATTCCAGCGAGCAACTTAATCAGGTATTTATCCTTTTTTCTCAGCACTTTTTCATCACAATACGCTTTGTTCAGATAATAATTTTAGCCAAAAGAATTGAAAAGCACATGGTCATACTCATATAATTTCTCAATAACAATTTTCCCTCTCACAAAACTCTTCTTACATATGAAATACTCTGAGAATCGAGTATTTTCTAAAAATTCATTGATTTATTTGGCTGATTTTTTAGTTGTTTTTTTCTTGCTCTATTTCAGAGTCGAAGAAGACATAGATACACTACAGCTGCCAAGTTCTTTTGGTGGGTTACCATCAGCCACACCAACATCAAGCCGGAAAAGACGACAGTCGAATATTTTTCCAAGGCCTAAAACACACACGAAAAATGTTTTTTGCTTGCCCCCTGTAATTGGTATGAATATACCAATTCCAAGGGGTGAAGCCAGGACAAAATTAGTTGAAAACGGCATGATGGCAAAAATGACATTTGAGTCCACGTGGAATGAAAATCAAATGAACGCTGAAATTTATAGTTTGTTTCGTGAGCTTTTTGAAAATGATAGCAGCCCCATGTTCACATTCCAGTATTTAAGGTTTGTTCATGTGAATTATGCTGTTTTGTGGAATTTTGTCGCACAGTATAAATTAAATCATTTGTTGGATTTTTTGTCACAGGTCTGTTAAAAAAGGTACTAGAATGTACGTTTAATAAGTTAATTATTTTTATTATTACTTTTATATAGCACTCTTCCTGGTGCAAAGAAGCTTTGTATTCCCAGAACCTCCACCTTGTTTCATTGGAATGCAAAAGAGGTTTTGTCTATCTGCTTGAGGGATACGTTGTATGTGGCAGCTGAACAACCCCCCCTCAAAATGAAAATACAACAATCAACTATTAATAACTTTGTAAGTTTACAAAAACGAGATTGTCTTGGGTATGAATTTGTAGGATTGCAACAACATATTTATGTGTAATTTCACAGTCTACAACTTGGCTTTTTGATTTGATTTTTGCAAATGCAAGGTAGAGTAAAACAAAATTTTCCAAATAAATTAGAAATCGCATTTAAAGTAGAGACCTTTCATCTTTTTATCTTTTAATCAGCTGTGAGTACTTTTAGTTATAAACAGATAAAACTAGGAAAGTAGCTAGTGTTAAGTTAAAATAAATGTATTTGTGAAGATGTGAATTGCCAACTTCTAACAATGTGCTACAGTCATTGTTATTATAACATGAAAGATAATTGTATTTTTAGATCTCGCATTCAGAGTCTGAAAATGATTTCACTCCTGGAGGTGAAAATTTGGTAAATGACAAGAGGCTTGAAAATGAAGAAAACCCTGTAAAAGAACAAATTACTGTAAATGACTCGAAAAGCAGTATAAGTGAAGAATTGAATTGTACTCCAAGAGTAAGGTAGTCACATATTAACTACATGTCACAAATAATTTTCCTTATTGATGGAAAAGCACATTCAGTTGATTTGCTCATTATTGTCTTTTTCAATACTTTTTTAGCAATTATGAACATATGATCATAGAAAAAGAAATCATTATTTCAGACGATGAGGTCGAGCTTGTTGAAACGTCACAGGCTGAGAGAAAGTAAGATAATTGGTCAAAATAAAGTAATTTGTATCGAATGCTTAATTGTCCTCCAGTTTGATTTGGTGGAACACACTTTAAACGATGGCCATTTTGTGGGTATTTTTTCAGTGAGGAATATGTATCCTTACAGTCGATATTGTCAGATATTTCTGCAAAGGAAATTGACGAGGAGTCTAGATCATTCATAAATGTTCGTCGTAGCCAAATATGGGTCGACTCTTGTCGTCATTTAAACAAGAAGAAATTCAATCCAAAAGTTGCAGTGTCAATTAAATTTGCTGATAGCCATGGAGGCAATGAGGGTGCTGTAGATGCAGGAGGACCGCGCAGAGAATACTTTAGGCTATTGCTCCGCGCTGTGAATCTTGAAGCTGGGATATTTTGTGGTCCTGAGGACAATCGCGTTCTTTTCAAAAATGCCACGGGTGAGAACAGGGAATCGATCAAGCGAAGTTATGGTTTCGTATTGAATTAATAATTTTATGTAATTTGATATACTAATGATGCATGTGAATGTTAGTTGAAAGTTTCTATTTTCTATCTTATTTAGCTCGAAGTAAGGGATATTACATTCTTGCAGGAAAAATTATTGCCTGGTTGCTTGTGCACGGTGGACCTGCAGGGAATTTCTTCAGCAGGTCGCTGTATAACGCTATTGCATTTAATGGAAATTGCAGACAAACATGTATGGAAGATATTGCAGACATAGAACTTCGTGAAAAACTTACCCTGGTTTGTTGAGATGATTTAGATATATCATTACTTGACTTGGACAAAACTTTATTACGTATTAAAGATATTTTTACGTTCCATTTTTCTTTCAATAAAGTTGTTTTCTTGATTTTCAGATTAGTGATGCCAGTAGTGTTGATGACATCAACAAAATACTTGAAGACAACGTTTTAAAGAACATGTTAGAAGCCCAAGGAGCTCTTCCTTTTGTGTCAGATGTAAATGAGAAAACCCAAATCTGCACGTTGTTGGTCCAACATGCTCTATTGGATTCTGTGCAGTTTCTTCTCAATGAGCTTAAAGAAGGACTTGAAACATTTGGCGTTTTGGAATCGATTCAACGATATCCTGAAAAATTTAGAGAAGTATTTTTCATGGGCGAAATGAGTAAATTAGATGCGCAACTGGTTGATCTTCTGTTCATTCCTAATTACGACGAAGAAGGATCAAATATTCGATTTTCACAAGAAGAGGCTGTTGTATATTTTCGATATTACTTACAGGATTGCATGGGTAAGTAAAATGAACCAATATTTAGCGTGATTTCAACAATATTCTGATATCAATTTTTCTGTTTGGAGCAACAAACCTCTCTTGTAACTGTTTGCTTTTCTTAGTTTCATTTTATTGTTCTCATTCAATTTAAGATGGGGATGCCCTTCCCTTGAATTCACAGAAGGAAAATTTCCGAAAGCAAATACATGTGTTCCGGTTCTTTATTTACCGTTAGGACACAGCGAGTATTCCACATTCAAGACAAGCTTTGATTTTGGAGTATTAAATTCGCCCAGTTTTGGGAAAGCTTGAAGATTAATGAGTACAGTGCAGCTGTGTGTTATGTTGTTCAATTAACAAGTTTAGGTTGTTGCAGATTTTAAAAACAATCTCAAGTGTTTTTTACAATACTTTTACGTTTAATTAATTTGAATGGTTTATATGTAAGTTGTAGTCATTAATGTTAAGTAAGTATTCACCAACAAACTGAATAGCTCTTTGATACAGGATTTCTCCATCTTCAGTAGATAACGGTTCAACTGTTTGCAAAAGTTGATGCAAACCATGTTCATCGAGAACATTTTCATTAGAAGAAACATCTACATATGGGTTCTCGTTCATCTCCAACAGTTGTCCTGCACTCAGTCCATGCACCTGACCCCCTGCATTAAATCTTTCAAATTGTAGAGTGGTACGATGGCGATATCTGTAAAACAGTTGTACTGGTGAGCAATTTTCTTCTGTTGAGATATTATGATTGTTATGTGCTGCGATGAACTCCAATAGCGCTTTGTTGAGCCTTGGCAAAAAGATGTAGTGAAGACAGTACAAATCGGTACTGTTCGACGGGTCCAACAACCCTTGATTTTCCAAATTGTAAAACTTTTGTTTGAAAACATTAATAACTTGCTCGTTTACAGTTCTGTTGTGGTGCTCGATTCGCTGGTTGTGTACAGAGCTGCCAACAATAACAGATTGGGATGACGAGCCATGCACGTCTACCATATTCCTCCATATTTGAACATTTTCACCCCCATAGTCGGTGCGTATTTTTAATGCTGGCCATACTTCTCGACTGCTTTGTTAAATAGATCCAAGACCGTAGATGCGCGGTTATTGTTTGAAAACTTGCCAAATGTAACCAATCGGCTAAAGCCATCAATGCCATGAACTCACAAACTTCCAACGTATTAGTTTATGATTGCCATCAATGTGCCACAGGTAATTTGGGCATGGCACAGAGTAACGTCGTCGGCGAATTCGTAAGCTACTACGTGTTTCAACACCACGAGGATCTACTTATTTAATGATACTTCTGATTCGGTTTCTTTGAACGTTAACACCTTTGGCGCGCAAGTGACCTTGTACCATCACCTCACCAGCATTTGGGTGACCTAGTTTGATTGCTACAACAGAACAACGTAACTCGTCGTTTGAATGATTTGAAAATCGTCCCTCGTAAGGAATATTGTATGCTTGTATTGCAGCATATACTGTTGGCCGGGAAACAGCCAATAATCGAGCTATTTCACTGATAGGTGTCTTTACTGATAGCAAATTTTCTAAATACTCTCTCGGGATATTCTTGCTAGGTCTACCAGGAGCATGCACACCATGAAATGACAAAACAAGTTTCTAAACATCTATTTTCATACAATTTCTATTTCAAAATAAAATACTAGGAATATTAATGTTATGTGTATGCATCTCACATAAAACAAGATGTTTGTTATCTTAGAAGTTATCTTCTAAACACATCATTAAAACACTATTATGGCTTTCTATTATATGTTACATGTAAGCCAACGACATAATAACTAGGAAGATAAAATTGAGCTGGTAGCTATTATTTAAAGAGACTTGCGTCGAGATTCCAAAAAAAGATAACGATAATGCTCGTTATTGTGAGGCAGTACTTTCGCCATCCCAATCGAAATGAAATAAAATTAATGTATGTTGTGTGCATACGTATACCTGTCAATTTCAAAATCTCCTGAATTACTTTGAAAGCGATCAACCTGTCAGTTTAAAATAATAATTTTAGACTGTCATATTGCTACTCCAGTGTCAATATTTGAAATAATTGTGATCAAGGTAACGAGACGTCTGGGTTAGCACAAAAACCCCAGAATCTTGACGTGCAATTCATCCATGTTGGTGGTCTGATACAAAAGAATATTTTATCAGAGTTATTGTTGGCACCAGCAGGCTTGGGCGAGCAACATTGTTTTGCAAATCTCAAGAGAATGGTTGCAAGTCAAGAATACTTTTTCCTAATGAGAAGTCAAGGACAAATATTCGGTTTCCAGAAGTTTGACTTTTTAAAATGAATTTCTATAATAATCTAAGGGAAATCACCAGCAATGGCGATGACCCTCAATTTTTTATTCTACATCATTTTTATATGTACAAGTAGACAGTCTAAAGACAGACAGGCTGAGACAGCCCCTCGTCAAAGCATTTCAACAAACAAACATCTCTGTGTACCATTATTGTGATGAAAAAGTGCTGAGAAAAAGGGATAAATACCTGATTAAGTTGCTCGCTGGAATTTCCCGACGACTCGTTGCTCGCTTGTCGAATTGCGTTAGCAACTGCCTCCAAAATAACTCTCGTTAACTGTTCGTTGTCCTCCATGTTGAATTTCTCCCGCCAATTAATTATCGACCCAATTTTCAGGCAAAACAGGCTAAGCCTGTTTTAAATCGCAATGACATAGCACTTGCGATTTATTAAATAACAATGACATTGCGCTTGCTATTTAAAGGCCTAGTTCCACGGCAGCGAAATGCGAAATAGTTCGCGCGAAATTTTGTTTCTGCGAAATTTTCTCCTGTAATTCGATTTCTACGCATGAGAAAGAGCGCCAACTTTTAAATAATATAGCAATATGGAGTTCAGCCGCAAACAATTAATTTGCCTGCTCTTGATATACCGAAGAAGAAAACAACGTTTGAAAAAATACAAAAAGAGATTTTGGGTCAGAAAGCTTTTTAAAAGTCGTGCAACACGAGGGGAATTTGTGAACTTAGTACAGGAGTTGAAACTGCACGACCATGAGTTGTTTTTTAAGCAATTCAGGATGGATCCTAGCCAGATGGAAGAGGTTTTAAGCTGGATAGCGCCAAAAATTTATAAACAGGAAACTCGGAGAGATGTTATAAAACCTGAAGAGAGATTATGTGTGACTATGCGCTATTTAGCAACGGGTGACTCTTTCTCAACCATATCGATGAGTTATAGAATTGGAGAAACAACAATATCAAAGATTGTCAGTGAAACATCGAATGCTATTTGGGAAGCAATGTTGGAGAAAAACATTTTGAACATGCCTAAAGCACCAGAAGATTGGTTAGCAATTGCCAAATTGTTTGAAAAACGTTGGAATTTTCCTAATTGCTTGGGGTGCATTGATGGAAAACATGTACTCATTCAAGCACCTGCTAGGAGTGGTTCACTGTTTTTCAATTATAAAAAAACTTTCTCAATTGTGCTGCTAGCAGTTTGTAATGGAAACTACCAATTTACAATGGTCGATATTGGGGAAGCAGGCAGGCAAAGTGATGGTGGTGTATTTTCTAATAGCAATCTTGGCTATTCTATTCTTAAGAATCTCCTGCCAGTGCCTAGACCAAGACAGATAGACAGTTCAAATGTTTTATTTGCATTTGTCTTTCTTGGAGATGATGCATTCCCATTACGTCAGAACTTGATGAAGCCTTATGCAAATCCTAATTTGGACATAAGGAAACTTGTGACCAACTATCGCATATCAAGAGCCAGGCGTATAATTGAAAACTCGTTTGGAATATTGGCTGCAAGATTCCGAATATTTAGACGTCCAATTCATGCAAAAGTTGACACAGTTATTTCAATTACCAAAGCTTGTGTTGCTTTGCATAATTACCTAATGAATGGAAAGACATGTGCTAACCGATACTGTCCATTAGGTTTTGTTGACCATGAAATCAATAGACATTTCAAAGGAGGGGACTGGCGAGATATGGTAGTTGATACAACTGGTTTGGGTCAAATATCAAGAGTTGGTTCAAACAACTATGCAAAAGATGCTAAAGAAGTAAGAGACAATTTTTGTAAATATTTTAATTCAAAGGAAGGAGAGGTCCCTTGGCAATGGCATGCATATGATGTTGATGTAAATAATTGCCACAAATCATGATAACTTTATTTAAAAGACATTAATGTCATCCCTAAAATTTGCATGGGAAATGATCATGATTCATGCAAGGAATTCAAATTTTTTTCAAAATAAAAAACATCACAACAAAACTTACAAACAAAACATAAACCTGTCAGACAAAACAAAGTGAATATTCACATTTCCCTCATTCATCATCCATCTCTTCCAGAAGAATCTGTTGAATTTTTATTTTTACTTCCAGACTTTTTTCTTGGGAACTTTCTCAAAACATCCACAATACTTTTACAAAAAGAAATCTTCATCTTCATGTTCTTTCTTATCACTGCCTTGATCTTTTTCTTTTATGGCATTAATTAAGTAGTGATCAATAGGATCCATGTCATCATTTTTTCCTTTTACGATGAACTATAGTTGCCTGAGGTTCAACATTAGGGAAGCTTTGATTTAAAATACCTTCTGCACAAGAAATAGGTTCTGATGATGTAGACGAGGATGGGGACTGGTGTTGTGAATGTTGTGGTTCAACAGACTGGATGGTAACGTTGCTATGGGTGGTGCGATTACTTAGTGTATCCCGAAGGAATGCCAATTGACTAAAATATCTGCAGCGAGGTGGCTTATAAGCACCTGCACCTGACCTGCTCATATCTCTTTCTCTGTCAAGACATTTTTTTGAAGCTATCACAGAGATTTTTCCACTTGTTTTTCAGAAAGTTAACTAAAAAAGTTAAATAAAAAAATTTAAGAAATTAAGCTAGTGAACACAATTAACACAAAGATCTTTTATTATTTAGGCAACTGCATTTTTAACCATGCAATTGATGACTAGATGTGGTGCAGTACAATTCACAAAAAATTCAACTGTATCCACCAAGTTGCAAAATCTTGAACATCAGAGTTCCTGAACTGTCTATGACATAATCTGTAAAGGGAGAGCCTTGCATAATTTCATCCCACACCATACTCTAGTAAATATAGAAGTCACTGGTGTAAACAGTAGGGAACTTAAAAAACTTGGAAAAAATAAAACATGCATGAAATATGTAACTTCTGTGTACTCTTTCTTATTACTTATAGCATGTTCAAGGTGCACCTTCACCTGAAGGCTTGGCAGAAAACACACCAAACTAAACCATGTACTCACCATCGCGATTAAGTTTTTTTGCTAAATTTGCCCAGACAATCCTTTTCTTGTCTGACCGTTTGAAATCAAGGGATTCTCTCATCCATAAAATTGGCAAAGACTGAACTTCGCTAATAAGTATTTCACAAAAATCATCATGGAAATCGGGAGTTTCGTTGGCATTTATGCTATGAAGTAATAGAGCTGTGTCTTCCGAAAGACTAGTCATGTTGATTTCCAGAGACGCCATATTAAATTTTGTTTACAAAGCAGTTATTTCATTGGTTTCGCTGTTTTTTTTCGCTTGAGAGTTGAAACAATTTCAACTTTGGCGAAACAGAAATTTTTCGCCGAGAAATGCCTCATGGCAAGGGTGCGCATGCGTTATATCAGTTTCCCGCGAACTATTTCGCATTTCGCTGCCGTGGAATTAGGCCTTAATAAATCGCAATGACATAGCACTTGCGATTTATTAAATAACAATGACATTGCGCTTGCTATTTAATAAATCGCAATGACATAGCACTTGCGATTTAATAAATCGCAATGACATAGCACTTGCGATATGATAAATCACAAATAAATTGCACTTGCGATATATTAAATGGCAATGACATTGGACTTGCGATGTAATAATGCACTTGTGATTTAATAAATGACAATGCAATTGCACTTGTCATTTAATAAATTGCAACAATTTTGATGCCTGCAAGTCAAAATACAAATTAAATTGCATTAGAAACATAAATGTTTTGTGTGTTTAATTTTTTTACAAACGGCGCCCCATATGCTTCATCTTTTTCATGATCTTTGTCTTTCATTTGTCAATAAAACTAAGCATTTTTTCATCGGTATTCTTTATATGGTCCAGTAGAGGATCCTGTTCTTTCATTTTTACTCCTCTTTCTTTTAACACTCTTTCCGACACTGTCGTCAGAAATAACAGTACTTGAGCAGCTTGATGGTGCTGGTGAGGGAATTGGTAAAGGAGAATGTATCGGAACAGGAGACAACATGGTTGCATGAGTTTCTTCTTGAGATGCAATGATTTCTGAATCCAAATTTAACAACACGATGTTGCTGTGTGTTTCAAGATTGCTGGTTTTATCATGCAAAAACCTCATGATTTCAAAATATTTACAAGTTGGGAGGGTTGATGCTGCTGCTCCAGATCTTGACATTGCTTTCTTTTATCAAGACTTTTCTTTAGAGAATCCTTTAAATTCTTGAATATCTTTTGAAGATAATGAACTAAATGTGAAAAAAATTTGCTTTCCAAAATATCCATAAAAGCAAAATAAAATCATCCACCAAAAAGTGATATTAAGCAACTTGCCATATTGCACACCACTTAGCCTACACAAAGATTTCCTGCGTTAACCTTCAACTTTGTAATATATTTTATAGTAAATATTGTTATTATGGCATATGCGAGAGTAGAATATGTCTTTAGCAATTATTCAGTGGTAGTGAAACATATCATAAAATGTCTCCCTCATTCAAACATTCAATTCATCAGTCACATAAATTTATTGAATTTCTTTGTTAGCAGCTAGAAATGTAATCGTACCTTCTTGAGAAAACATTTGCGATAATGCATTCCATGCTTTCACTTTCATTGTCCTGTTCTTATAGCTTGAATCATTTGTATCCCATAAACATTTAAATTCGCGAAGGGCTTGCAAAAACAATTCCTTGTCAAACACTGCATTGCTATTCGGTGAAGCATTAGATTGCTGTTCTTCTTCACGATAAACCTCACCAATTATATTTCCATTGATCTCGTTCGTCGCCTTATTGAAAATCGAAAAAAAAATCGTCAACGTAATCGTCAAGCGCTCGACGAAAAGTAGAAACGGTTTCTACTTTTCGTCAAGCGCTTGACGATTTTTTTGACGATTTTTAATTCGTACTGCGCATGTGGCGCAGCGAATTTTTACGACGATCGTCATAAAAATCGTCTAGTGGAGATCCGCGTTTATAGTTTAATATAGATTTGTACTTTATGTGGTTTCTGCACAACTGGTAGACAATAGTTCGTCGTCAAAAAACATGTTTCTTTCTTTCTTGGTTGATGTAGAGTGTTTCAAATATTTTGTACTAGCTGTATATCTAATTTAATTTATGAAAGATATATTCTCAGCAGTATATTACTATACTGGATAGTTAATCATAAGGGTAATTTGTACTATGTTGTCATTGCTTCCGATCGGTTATCTGCTTCTCTAACAGGTCAGGTATACCAGCAAAAACAATGATCCGATGCATTTGTTGTCAATATTCTTTGCCATTTGACTTGCTCTTTCAAATTAAAGTTGAAACAAAAATCCTCAAACTGTGCAGAGAAGGCGATCGAGGTAGAGAAAGCCTCAAAGTTCGTCAATGTTTATTAATGACTACCCGCTAAACTTATTCATTTCCCTCATCCTTGCCACTTATTTTCTTTGTTAGGAAACAAATGAATTGATATTTCTTCATTTTTTGAGTAATTATTGCAACTAAAATGATTAGGTCGGCCAGCAACACAACTTTTTACATCACATTTTTGTATACATTACTAGAAAAATATGCCATGTTGATTAGATGTGTACAACTATTTACTTCACACCTCATTAACATGCTATCAAAAAGTTTGCAAAAATATGGCTGAAAATCGCAACTTTGAACGTTGATAAAATCCCTTCTGGAAATCAGATTAGAATTACTATTGCAAGAAAGCTATTCTTTGAATCCAGCTGCTCAAAAGGGGGGGGGGGCTAAAATTTGCAATATAAACGCTTTAAGTCTTTGTTGTCATTCTCAACGGAAGCAAAAAGTGTTATGAAGGATTCCTCATCATGCAGCTGAGTTTTTCCCACAGACATCACATATTTTTTTGTATTTGTACATCCCTCTAAACCAGCCTGCATCACAATTTTCATACATCAACTTTAAAACTCTCGTGAATATCATGTTGTCGGCCACTTGCATAACCAAAATACTTATGAAAAATGTCATGCACCTGTTGCAGATACAATAGTCTGTCAATTATGGTTTTAACATTCGCAAAATTTTTTTCAGTACTTTTGCCACAGTTGGATAACCTTTTGCCATTTTTTCAGGGTATTCCAATTTTTAATGCATGCAAACATTGCTGAAGACTGTTCAACCAGTAATCGTTACCTTAATTGATTAAGCCTCTTGTAATTTCTTTTTGTAGCGAGGACACATGCATCTTGTGCGACACACCAATGGAATTGCTGGATTTGGTGCACTCGTCTTTTGTTTGTTTTTGTTTGTATTTTGTGTTTTTCTTCAACGTACTTGTGTCCTTGAAGCGCAACTTGTGGTCTGTTGACATATCTTGCCACAATTTAGCTGCCTCTTTTGTTGAAATGGCGTTAGGGAAATTTTTAGAAGCTCTGTTTGTCTTACTACCTTTATGAAAAAAATTTAAGAATGACGACGGTGGATGTTTACTCATTTCTGAGGAATTACTGGTGACTGCTGGAATTGTCCAACTTTTGCATTAGTTTTTGGTATTAATGGAATCTTTTTCCCCAATGTTTAACTGACTTGCAAATAATAATCATCTTCATCATCTGAAGTGTCATCTGAGCTTACTATAGTAGTGCTTTGGCTTCTTTTGTAGTTTCTTTTAGATTGATTTCTTGTGCAGACGTTTTGTCTAATGTTTGGGTCTGAAAATTTTTAGAAGACTTTATTGGACTTGTTTGTTTCCTGTAGGCTTAATAGCAGTTAGTCAATCCTAGAAATCTGTCATTTGTTGCCTAATTCTGGCATAATTTCCCAAAACAAATGCATCAGGATGCTGTCTTATTTTGTTTGAAAAATTCTCTTGTTTTAAGTTTTGCATGACACCTTTCACATAGCCCTCTGTTTTTGAGTTTTCTGATTTAAATGAAAAGTACAGATGTTCGTGTAATGTTTCGTAAACTGGATCGTTCTCCTCTATGTATCGGTCTAATGAACCTAAAAGTACACCAGACCACAACAGCATCTCGCAAAGATAAGATTCTATGAATCCAAAAAATTCTGGTGCATAGCATCTATTATTTAGCTTGCTATGTTTATCTTCTATCGCTCTTTCCTTGACAATTCGTAGCAAGTTATCGTAATGATTTTTGAATGGATTTTGAACTGTATTTCTGTTTGTTCCAGTAGGATCAACATTATCATCGTCTACATTGAAAGACTTCATTCACTTCAACATGTTCAAGATTTATTCTCGTTCCTCCATTGCATGGATCAATTTCCATATGGTGCTGAATGCATTTTGGACTTTATCATTTTGAGTCTTATCAAGCAAGCAAATTGCAACATGTTGAAGAATTTAATCAATTTCTTTTTTGGGTTCTGGAGTTTACCAACAGCGACATGCAATACATGTTAAAGCAATACCACACCACGTTTCCAGTACTGACTTTGCTATGCATAATTTATTTTAAGCGCCTGCGAATTATGTCCATGAAATGACTGCAGGCAACATGTAAAAACCATGAATGCAAAGTCTTCGTTGGATGCCATCTGCACAATCCTGAGTAATCTGTATATAACTGACGACGTATTAGAACGTTTCCTTAGAACACGTTACGGCAATTGGCACTGATAGATTTCATTTCTTTGGGTGTCAAACAATAATTGCATAATAAAGGACTCTTTAGCCTATGAAACTTGCACAATCGTTGAAGTTGCGTCCATGTATGCAATATCTTTCATGGATAAGTAATGCCAAAGACGAACCTGATCTTCATTCCACATATATATCCCAAGTGGACAAAATAAAATTGCTTGAACAAATCCTTCAATCTGTTTTGGAGGCTTTCGCGCTGTTCTCGCTGAATTAAATCAAGCAAACTTATAATAAATGTACAATTTTAAAAGAACAAATTTGCACATTGTGCTATCGTTCCGAAAATATTTGATTTTATTGACACTACCGGTTACTTCCAATTTGCCACCAATTTTGTTCCATGTATCTTTTTTCCTCGCGTGCATCTTTAAACATTTGGTGCGATTTAATGTGAAGAACATGATTTCACTGGATCTCCATAATTAATTGTTCTTCCATTTTACTTCCACTGTCACGATAGTCTCATTTGTTGAAGTCTGTATAGGAACCACAGCAGTAGGACTTACAGTATTAGTCAGACTTGGCATAGTTTTCGCGTAACTACCAACAGTTATTGCAGTTAAATTGTTCTTTGGAGTGAAAGAATTATTGAAAGTACAGTCAAAAATCAAACACAGTATCCAGTAATATAGTTTTTTAAACGTGCAACCCAAACAGCAAAATAAAAGAATAGAAAAGAAAAAGAAGTTTAAACAGTAAAGATGCTAACTATTATAAAGCATGCAACAGTATCAAGTGACAAATTAAACCAATCATCGTTAACATAGTTATGTGACCTTTGTGACCCACGTTCTTATAGTGTGATCATTACATGCAAACTACATCAATTGATCTAAATAAAGTATCACTTCTTAACACTCCCATCTAATCAATTAGTTTTAAAGTTCTAAAATGTTTATTATATGTAGAAACTATCCTTTGATTCCCATAACACCCAACATGTTTCCAAATTTCTCAAACTGAACCTTTGATAGTCCCTTGGTCATAATATCTGCCAACATGTCGTTGCTTGCACAGTATTTCACTGAAACGGTTTTCTTGCTTATTTGCTCACAAATATGATGATACGAGACATTTATGTCTTTGGTACGTGAATGGAACTTGGGATTCTTTGATAACTGAATAGCTCCTTGATTATTTTCAAATATCACAGTTGGCTCATGCTGTTTTATGTATATATCCTCAAACAATGTTCTAAGCCAATTTCCCTCTTGACAAGCAGTACTCAGCCTCAGAAGTTGACTTCGACACACAACCTTGTCGCTTACTGCACCAACTAACTGTGTTATTCTCAACTTGAAAGACATACCCAGTTGTTGAACGTCATGTGGTCAAATCACCTGCCCAATCGGCATCTGAAAATCCTCTTAGGACAGGATCGCTTCCATCTGAAGTGTACACTAGACCAAAGTTTAGTGTTCCCTGAATGTATCGAAGCACTCTCTTTATCCCTCTCCAATGTTCTAAACCTGGATTTGTCATGAACTTCGAAAGGACACCAACAGCAACTGCTAAGTCAGGCCAACTAATGAGTGTTGCATAATTCAAACATCCAATTGCAATTTGATATGCTTTGACATCGACAGACTTTTCTCCTTGTGGTAAAGCTTCGTACTTCTTGCCAAATTCTAAAGGAGTTGACAGCTTTCCATGTTAAATCGTTTAAGAACTCCCTCTAGATAATTCTTTTGACTAATTGACAAAGTTCGTAGTCTGCGGTTGCGTTTGACGGTCATTCCAAGAACATGATGAATTTCACCCAAATCCTCAACTTGGAACTGCTTTCCATACGCTGACTTTTCTTCCTTCAGCATCTGTAGATCATTTGATAGAAAGATCGTGTCATCCACGTAAATTGCAATAATGACAAAATTAATTTTTCCATTGTTGCACTCAACAGATTTAATGTAAACACATGAATCTGCACTGTTCTTCTTATAATTATTAGCCAGCAGATAACCATCAATGGAATTGTTCCAGCATCTTGCTGCTTGCTTCAGACCGTAAATGCTCTTCTTCAACTTGCATACATAATCTGGTCGACTCTTATCAAGAAAACCATCAGGTTGCTTAAGATATACTTCTTCTTCTAACTCACTTTGTAAAAAGGCTGTTTTCACATCCATTTGATGGATTTCCCAATCACATACATTTGCAATTGCAAGCAACGATCTTATTGAGTTGTATCTAGCAACAGGAGCAAAAATTTCTTGATAATCAATACCTTCTGACTGACTGTATCCTTGCGCTACCACTCTGGCCTTAAATTTCTCCACCATACCATCAGGATTTCTTTTCACTTTGAAGACCCACTTGCTGCCAACCACATTCTTGTTTGCTGGTGATGGAACAAGCTCCCATGTGTCATTAACCATTAAAGAATTGTATTCTGACTTCATAGCACTTTTCCATTCCCTTGAATGCTCTCCCGTAATTGCTTCTTTAACATTACTTGGCTCATCAATAAAATCTGTAGCAAGGTTATCTGTAACATGATGTTCTTCATCATATCTTGCAGGGGGTCGTCTTGCCCTACTCTCTCCAATTTGCCTCACTTCTTCCATAAAATTTTCCTCATACGTAGCTCCCACTTGATTGGCATTCTGTAAGTTTCCAGCATTTTGATTTTCAATTTCTCCATCGCTTTCTTCACAATTTTCCTTGTCATCAATGATTCCAATAAGAGGACTATTAATTGTGAGAGGAACATCTTTAACAAATTTATGATCACTTGACCCAGGTTGATTATTTCCAAACTTATGAAATACATCCTCACGAAAGATGACATCCTCACTTCAAACAAACTTTCGAGAACTTGGATCGTACAGTTTGTATCTCTTTGTTCCTTCTGGATACCCAACAAAAATTGATCATTTCGATTTTGCTACGACTTTGTACGTTGACCATCAGGAATGTGAACATATCCAATGCAGCCAAACACTCGTAAGTTGCAGACATCTGGTTTCTTCTTGAATAAACACTCAAATGGGGTAACACGAGACAAACCACTTGTAGGACTTCTGTTACGTAGATAAGCTGATGTATTTACTGCTTCAGCCCAAAACTCATTTGGTAAACTAGAGTGAGACATCATAGCCCGAGCAGATTCCATTAATATCCGATTCATTCTTTCAGCCACGACATTTTGTGCTGGATTGTGTGGCACAGTCAGCTGATGCGAAACTCCGTTTTCTTTCAAAAATGACTCAAACTCCTTTGAGCAATACTCAACTCCATTGTCAGTTCGAATGACTTTAACTGTTTTCTGAAAAAAATTCTTTGCATATTTGAAGAATTCCATAAATTTTTCCAAAACATGACTTTTATTCTTCAGGAAATAAACACAGGTACATCTCGTAAAGTCATCTATGAATGTAACATAAAAGCGAGATCCTCCAATTGAACTCTCAGACATAGGTCCACAAACATCACTATAGATAAGTTCAAATGGTTCAGTAGCACGATATGAAATATATTTTGGATTTGCAAAACGATGTTGCTTACCCATTACACAGCCTTCACGAAACAGTTTACTTTCATCTGACGACTTTCCAATTCCTTTTGCCATTTTTGCATTGGCAAGTTTTATAACAATGTCCATGCCTAAATTCCCCAAAACGACAATGCCACAAATAGAGATCAGGTTTTAACTCTCCACATGCTATGTTTACCTGCTCCTCCATGACCTTTAAAACATACAGCTTTCTTCGAATCTCACCTACAGCTAAAAGCTTTAAATTGCAAATAATTCTGCACATATCATCTTGAAATGATACAACAGCTCCGAGTTTCACCATTGCACGAACAGATAACAAGTTCTTATCC